GCCTCGGTCTGCGCATCCTCGCGCCAGCCCCGCAGCCTCCCTCCCCCTGCAGCCGAGCACCCCCTCCTGCTCGCCCCGACTCTCCTTCCTAGAGGCTTCCCTTCCCCCTTCCTTCCTCCCATTCTCTCCTCCTTCTGCACCCTCTTCCACGACCTTCTCCACTCTCCCACGGATGCACATCTGGCCCTTCTAGCCCCTGGCTACTCAGAGTGTGGTCCGCGGACCAACAGCATCACCTGGGAGCTTATTAGCATCCCTAATCTCAGGCCCTACTCCAGACCCATGAATCAGAATCTGCATTTTACCAAAATTCCCAAGAGATCCCAATGGACATTCAAATTAAAGAAGGGCTCCTCTGGAGGGTTTATTTTGGACACACTGTGTCAGAATTATTGCCTCCTCTACCTTGTTCCAGCAGTTTTTGGTTTATATGAAGCAGTTACTCGACCCATTATTTCTTGAGATCATCACATAAAGAATTTGAAATTGCCAGATCCCACTATATAGCTAGGCAAATTGAGGTGCTTAGAGGCAGAGGAAACTAGAACCCAGATCTCCCAACTGTATTCACCTGCTTCCTCTCCAGACTCTTGGAGTGTCAAATCAGCAGATGCTGCTGGTGCGTAATCTGTCCCCTTCAAAACTAGACAACTGGTTTGCTGTGTTTTCCTGCAGCAAGCACGCACAAGCCTTGGCAGGCCCATGCCATGTCTGATGGCCACCCTGAGTTCTCAAATCCATTTCTGCCGCTTGCGGTTCATTTTCAGTTATTTAGTCAGCCATCCACTCATTCACACCAAGCACTTACTATATGCCAGGTCCTAAGGTTCTCTTCTGATGACGGTTGTTGGGGTGATACAGTCAGACTGCTAAGCTGTTTTCCCTTACAGACGTGGACAGAATTCTTTTCATGCTGGTATTGAAGAGCCAGCATTTTAACCTTCTTCTATTTCTTTTTATTTAGTAGCATAAACAAGGAAATAGTCATGAAGGCATAAAAGCCTAGAGGTTCCAAATACAGACCTAGAAGTCAGACTACATGAGGTGGTAATCGGTAGCCTCCCAAGATCAGTAATCTCCATGATGCAATGAAGATTAAGAGAATAAAGGTAATGTTCAGTAGGGTTCAGTGCTATAAGTGGTATGAATGAATATGTGTAATATTATGGAACATTAATATTCAAAAGGAAACTAGTGACCTTAACCCTTTATGGCCTGGCTGGCTGGAAGACAGAGCACTGTTGTCGAAATAGTGAGACATGCTGGGAGACCCAGAGGTCCGGTGTTTTGGCTATTGGGTATCAGCTGATGGTGGGTTGTCCAACTGGAGTTTAAACATGTAAATCTTGACAGCTGAATCAAGGTGTAATTCTTGAAAACCTTGGGTTTCACTAGATCTCCCAACATAAAAGTTGTTGCAAGAAATAGTTCAGATTTATTGTTTGAAAAAGGCATTTTAAGGGCTGGCCCGGTGGCGCACTGCTACAGTGCGCCGCTTGGGAAGCGCGGCGGCGCTCCCGAGGGTTGCGATCCTGTTGCCGGTCCCGGTCCGGTACGGGCGCAACACTGAGGGTTGCAATCCGATGCCGGTCACGAAAAAAGACAAAAAGGAAAAAAAAAAAAGGCATTTTAAGATGAACCACAATTACTTAAACTATCAAAACAGACATCTTCCCCAAAAGCATAGCTTGGCAGCACATAAAATTCTAAAAATATGTCCCGGTCCGGTACGGGCGCAACACTGAGGGTTGCGATCCGATGCCGGTCACGAAAAAAGATAAAAAGGAAAAAAAAAAAAGGCATTTTAAGATGAACCACAATTACTTAAACTATCAAAACAGACATCTTCCCCAAAAGCATAGCTTGGCAGCGCATAAAATTCTAAAAATACGAAAAAAAAAAAGCGAATCCATAACACCAAGTTCCAGGATTTGATCCCTGTACTGGCTGGCCAGGTACTAACTAACTAACTAACTAACTAACTAACTAACTAACTAACTAACTAACTAATGTGGCAGGGGTGTGGGAAGGGGCAAAAAAGTGAATCTAATAAATTGAAAATCTGTTAAAGTATAATCCTTTAAAAAAAAAAAACTTCTCTTAAAAATTGAAATTCCTTTTTTTTTTTTTCTTCTCTTCCTGTTCACCAGGGAAGGCATGGTCAATTTTAAATGTACCGATGTTCAGACAAAAAAACAAAGCACTGGACTTCTGATTTCAGTGTTGATTCTCTGGTTTGGGAATCCAAGCCGTTATCTATTACTTTCTTTTTTATTCCCTTCATTTCAATTATTAGAATCAACAGTGATGGTGCCCAAACAGAAGGCAACTGAAAACCAGGCCATTCTTTTCCTAGTAAATTGGTGTGAGAAAAACATATGGGGGTGGGGGTGGGGGAAGGTTTGCAACCACAGCCTAAAATGAGATTTGCAGGTTATCTGTGTATTTCAATCACCTACTCAAGTTCAAGGACCTGAGTGCATGGACTCAAAGGAGGCTACAGATGGGCTTCAGGGGTGGTGTGAGGACCCATGAAAGTGCTGGAATAATGTTGTGATGTATGGATTTTGCTGGGGAAAAGACCCATAGCTGTCATGGGTCACTCAAAGTCTGTGTGCATTTTAAGGTCCTCAGAATCTACTCAGATTTCTGATTCCCTACAGACTTGGCTGCTTCAGTTTCATGAGATTCTCCCCAATCCACTTAAATTGGCTTTTGGAATTTTCTTATTCTTTGTGTTTTCTTCTAAGAGTTAAGCCCTGGAAGTACTGTTCGGAGACGTATTCCAACCCTCAGCACATGTTCCCCTCTTAGTTACATCCCAGGTTTACAGAGACCCTCTGCCCTGCACCAGTGTGAATCCACTGGACAGCCAAGAAATATTGTGGTTTCCTCTTTTGTACACAGTTTCTGGGGAAGAACTTTGCCTGAACATTCTGAGACCACTGGCTGAACGAGAGTTGGCTATTCAAACAAGAACTTAGAGATGAACAAGACTTTAATTTCATTTTTCATTTTTAAAAGAAAGACAGCACCTTTATTTTCTCTCCTCACAAGCCATTTCTCTAAAACAATCTTTTTCTGTTATAAAAACTCCCCCACATCAGTGCTGTGTCAATATCTGACCTGTAACAGATTTGCCCATGCTTCTGACTGTCTAGTATATGTAATTTTTTACTTCGGATTTCATAAGAAATAAAAGCTGTGATCATGGCAGTTCCTCAAAGGGTTAAACATGGAGTTGCCATACGATCCAGCAATTCCAAGAGAATTAAAAACATATGTTCACACACAAACTTGTACATGAATGTTCATAACAGTATTATTTATAAAAGACAACCCAAATATCTATCAACTGATGAAAAGGTAAACAAAATGTGGTATATCCATACAATTGTATTATTTATTATTCAGCCATAAAAAAGGAATGAAGTTCTGACACATGCTACACATGGATGAACCTTGAAAACATTATGTTAAGTGAAAGAAGCCAATCACAAAGGACCACATATTGTATGATTCCATTTAGTTTATATAAGATGTCCAGAATAAGCAAATCCACAGATAGAAATCCATAGACAGAAAGATTAGTGGTTGCCAGGAAATGGGGATGGGGAGAGAGATGCAGAGAATTTTGTAGTGACTTAGCAGATACAGGGTTTCTTTTTAGTGTGATGGAAAGGTTCTGGAATTAGATAGTCATGATATTCATACAGCATTGTGAACATACTAAAAACCACTGAATTGCACATTTTAAAATGGTCAAAACTGTGAATTTTATTTGAATTTATTTGAATTTTATTTGAATGAAGATCTTTGAGGTGGTGAAAGGATAAAGATGATATCAGAATATTCCTGTATTATTTTGGGAATATAAAATTATGGGTGTATCCAGGTGAGATCTTCTGAATGCGCTAGGACCTCATTTTCAAACTCTTCAAACATAAGATTCTCCTATGCCATCTACAATCCATAAACCCTGTGGGTTGCAGGATTCCCAGAAACCTTATTGTAATCTTCCATGACCACCAGGAGTCTGTGGCCTACAGGTTGGAGCCCTAGCTCTGGAATATTATGTTGGCAAGCTGATTTTTCCCCCCTGGACATAAGGTTTGTGTTGCGTGACCATAGGTTGTGTGACCATGAGGTGCTGTTGTTTTGATTTTAAATATATATACATATATATATATATTTTTTTTAAAGGTGAAGGAATTGTATCAATTCATTTTAGTCACTATGAACGCCACCAACACAATTTCATCTTCTCAGGTCACAATGCCAAGCACCCATCATACTTTTAAATAGGCAAATAACAAGGACAACTGCTGAAATAATAGAATCCTCTTGATTTTACTGGTTAGAGTTGAGCTGCCAAAGGTACTGGGTTTTCATATACAATAACAGCCAACTTGTTTCTGGTCAGACTTCCAGTGACATCAACCTTCTGGAACATTTGTGAACCCAGGGAGAAGTGGATAAGAAGCAGGAGATTCAGAGCATCCTAAAAACAGCAGCCAAAAAGCCCATGCATCCCTTCTCAGAAGCAAAGCAATCCTGACACATATGAAATACTTGGTTTCTTGGCTTCCCCAAGAAACCTCCAGCTTTGTCCTGGAGATTTCCATCAGAGAGCAGGACGTGAAGAGCAGAAGCCTCAGAAAGCAGTTTAGAAGAGGAAGAGGTGCTGGATTGTCAAGAGGTGACAACCCCATGTTATACAGGAACACATTTTTTATCATGTGCACAAGATAAAGAACAGCTAAAGCTGTTTTAAAAGTACAGCCGGGGTCATGGGGGTAAAAAGCCCCAAACATTACAGTTGCCCCGAACAGCTCCACTGACAGAGCAGACAGTAGTAAAAGTCATCAATGCAAAGAATATAATATTCTATAAAAGGCCAAGTCAAGCCCTCCACATTTTGATAGCTCCTGACTATATCACTGCACCATACCAAGGTACGAAAGGGGCTGATGTTTATAATGATGACTACGACTCATCAAGAAAAGGTTAAATACTCTCCAGTATATTCTGTTTACTAAGGCAGGGAAGTGTGTAATACATTTTAGAAAGATTTTCCTCAAAAAAAAAAAATTAAAATTTTAAAGATTCAGCACTTGAAGCGTTAATCCTCGGATATCTGAATATTTGCTTACATACCTCATTTTACAACAATGCTAGCAAATGAAGCATTACTTTTTTTTATAGTCATTAGTATCAAATTATTGGCACCATTCAGTTTTAAAGATAGGGACAGGAGAGCCAAGTATACAATACAACATAAAAATACAGTTCTGATACAAATGCATGAGATCAATTCCACTTAACAAGTGGTCATAAGAAATGGATGGACATTTTACACACAAGGAACTACAGCTAGTAAATCATCACATGGAAAAGTGCTTAGCCTCGCTAGAAATTAATGAAATAAAACAGCTTTTCAAGAACTATACACACCTATTAAACTAGCAAATATACATTAAAAATGGCAAAACCTATTACTGGCAGAGCTATTGGTAAATAGAAATGCTTATACATTGCTGGTGGCATCATAAATTGTAAAGGGGATTCAAGCATTCAGAGGAGGTGGGAAGTTGAACAAGATGACCTCTAAAGTCCTTTCAACCCAGAGACTGGATCTTTCTAGAAAGCAATCCAGCAATATAAAACAAGAGCTATAAAATATTTTATGCTCTTTGACCTTGTAATTCCTCTTTGGAGATATTCCCAAAGGAATAATCCAAAGGAAGGAGCATTTTTTTTTACAAAGAAATTCATAGCAGCACTATTTATAAGAGTGAAAAATTGGATATAACTCAAATATCCAATAATGGGGAGAAGTGAGGTTAACCATGTTACATGGATATAAAGACATTTAAATTGGTGAGAGTAGAGTCTGTTGATAAGAGGAGATAAGAGTTAGGTTAGAAATACAACAAAAGAGAATGTACACACTGATCATAGCTATGTAAAAACGTGTGCATATTCATTGAGGAAGCCAGGGAAATAATTTGGAGGAATAGTTTGTGGTTAGGGTGTTCCTTTATTCCTGCAAAGTTGTTCAAGTGCATGATAAAATTTTAAAAACACATTTCTTGAAACCATATAAAAAGAGAGCAAAATTTCTTCTGGTCAGGGTTCTATCAACAGAACATCAATTGATCAACTTTAGAAATAATTTTCCTTTATGGAATATCCAAATGAATCTTCCTGATATTGAATCATCTTAACCTTGTAAGTATTTTTAGACAATTTAAACTAGAATTTCCTACTTTGGGTTCAATGATAAATTCCATTTATCCCAAATAATATCACATCCAACAAGTTCACAAATTAAATTATATTTCGGGTTAAAATGAAGTATTTTCAGTCATGGTGATAGGTAACTTTCTTTTTTTAGTTCATCTACTCATGTCTGAATAAAAATGAATGTTAAAGACTTTATAAGAGCTGTGTATTTTTCAGTGTAAATGAAAAACCAGCAGTAAAGAATTATTCTTTCATTAAAAATGACTCTTAAACAGTCAAAGCTTGCTGCAAGTTTTGATCATACAAAGTCACATGGTTGAGATTGAGAGCAAAGGATTCCACACCATATTAGCCCCTGTGGTTATTAACAGGTACACACAGGTACTTCTGAAAAGGAATTCCCATTTCCCGTCTTTTTTCTACTAGGCTTACCAAACCCTGTCTCAATTACACTGAGTAATAGAAAAACTCTATTGCTCAGGAGACATGAAATAACTTTTCCAATAAAAGTCAAGCCAGAAGTTGGCTTCAACTAACCGTGGAGACCTGGGCGAACTGATCACACAACATCTGTATGTTGTGCCTGAGTGAGCACACAAAGCCCGAAGAAAGAAAACGGACAGAAGGCACCACGCCATCCTCCAGGCGACAAGGGGAGAATTTCACAGTTCGGTCATCAACAGTCTTTTCATCATTTTCTCTCTCTCCAGTTCCTGCCGGAGCGTCTCTGCACTAAAGAGAATAAGTAGCAAAACAGTGAGACACATCCTCAAAAATTGCAGGAGCAGACAGCTTAATTGTCACCTCCAGGTTCTTTCTTGATCTCAGTTCTTGACTTTCCTTTTTAAGCCCCTGAAGGACCCCCTACATTTGTTAGCATTATAATGACCTGAAATTGTCTGGCTACTTATTGGTTTTCCCCACCAGACTGAGAGTTCTTCGGGGGACTGACTAGATGTCATTCATCTCTAGAACCCCAGAGCCTAGATCTGGCACATGGCAGCCGCTCAGTAAAAGTCTGGAATGAATGGGAAGATGTCCAGGGGTTAGATTTCTTTAAATCATACTTGATATTGGTTTCATGTGCACGCTCTTCCAGAGATTAATTTGATTAATGTCTAAAGTAATGTCATAACAAGGAATTCATTATGTTTTCATAAATAAAATCAAATGAAGCAAAATCAGCTGCTTTGAGGGGTTGCCTCTGACTTCTCAGCCCTCAGGGCCAGTTGCCTGTCTATGGAACCTGTCTCCACTGTTCAACACACACAGAGTAAGAACACATCTTTAAAGGCACAAACCAAGTTAATAATCTCACTCAGGGTAGAAATCAAAGTTTCACCGTGGCCAGCAACGCCCTTCACAATCTGGCCCCAGCCTGCAACTTCACGGGCTTCCTTTCCTGTCATTCGCTCTGCTTGGCCACAGTAGCCCCCTTAATCTTCCTTAACCATGCCAAGCATGCTCCACCTTAACACTGGCTGTTCCCTCAGGAACCTCAGCACTGGCTGTTCCCTCTGCCTATTATATTCTTTTCCCAGATATCTGCAGTTTGCTTCTGGTTGCTGCTTGAATGCTACCTCAATGAGGCTATCCCAGCATGTCCTATTGCCTTTCATGGTTTTATTTTCCTCTCTAGCACTTGTCACTATCACTCACACACACACACACACACACACACACACACACACACACACACACACACACACACACACACACCACACACACTGAATTATCTGTCTGTCTTCCCCTTTACCCCTGACACACTAAATTGTAAACTCCATAAGGTTAGGACTTTTATCTGTTTTGTTTACTTTAAATCCTAGCACTCAGAATACAGCCTACCCTTTACAGATATTTCCATAAATACTTACAGAATAAATTAATGAAAGAATGAATGAGAAGGTTGTGAATGTCACAAACTTGGTGAACCTAGTATCTGTGCCTGGTTTCCCTGTCATCAGAGTGACCTGCAAGTACCTGCTGATCTGACTTACCTTGCTGCCAGAGAAACAGGCTTCCTGGGGGTATAGATGGTCTGCACTGTGGAGATGGTCTCTGTCAAAGGCCTCAGGGTTGCTGCTGGAATCAGCGGGGAAGACTGGCCAGGACAGCACTGTAATTTACTGTCTCTAAAGTCTGCCTGGAGAAGAAACAGAAAAGAGGAGATCAATCTCAATTTGGGTTCCATTTTCCCACTGTCAGCTGCTCCCTAAGACTTACTCTGCAGTTCCTGTTATTTTTTAATGATAGCTAAAATCAATTACCATTTTAAGTGATTTTACTTTGTGCCAGAAACTACTCTAAGCACTTTACATACATTACCTCTTGACAACCCTTTAAGGCAGAGATCATATTTCATCACATCTTAGACACCATCAGTTGTGAGATCCACCATTTTTTTTTTCCTTTTTGTCTTTTTTCGTGACTGGCAACGGATCGCAACCCTCAGTGTCGTGCCCGTACCGGACCGGGACCGGCAACGGGATCGCAACCCTCGGCGTTGCTCCCACACCTCGCTCAGCCAGTGAGCGGCCGGTCTGTATGTGGGATCCGAACCCTCAGCGGGAGCGCCGCCGCACTTCCCAAGCGGCGCACTGTAGCAGTGCGCCACCGGGCCGGCCCGAGATCCACCATTTTTACATGTGCCACAGAGAAAGAAAAAATGTGACCATTTAAGCTTTGTCATGCCCACTATTGTTGTAAACATCCTGATTTCAGAGGTGTTAAAAGGTGAAAAAATGTTCATCTTAGAAGTGATTTCATTGAGTAATTAATGAAAGTAATCTGCCTAAGGCCACACAGTAAATGTTAAGAACAGTATTTAGAAACATAGTTAACTGACTCCATAATTGGTGTTTTTCATCACTATAGCAATATGGTCCAAGCAAATTCTCAGACCACACCCCAGACCTTTGGGACCAGAATGTTTGGGGATAAAGTCTAACAATATGTGTTTTAATAAGACCTCCAGAAGATTCTGATACATGGTAAAGTTTCAGAACTATTTGTCTATAGTATACTGCCTCATTTGGAGAGTGTAATTTTTTGTTGTTTTGATTACAAAGCAAAATCTGCTTATTATTTTTATACAGAAAGCATAGAAGATATGTAAAATAAAAAGAAATTCCATAATCCCTTACTGTTGACATCAATAGATTTCCTCATAGTATTTTTCTATGCAAGTTTTTGTTTGTTTTATATCTTTTTAATAATACCAGCTACATATTTTATAACTTGATTTTTCATGCTAGTTCTTGGCCCTGAACTTGGAGAAATTTATTACATGGCTTTGTAAAGAAAAGAGTTTGAAATGAGGAATATCTTCTTCTGATTATATAGAAGATGAGCTGTCTCTCCTAGGGGACCATGGAAAACCACTGAAAATATAAAATATAGTTTTAGTTTTGTAAGAGTATATCTATCTGGCTTGAGCAATCGGGAAAAGGCTTATCTTTGAGGGTAGAGGCTTTGAAAGGCTATTGCTGATAAATACACACTCTTGTTTGGGTATTATACCTGCCTCTAGAAGAACTAACATTGCCTGAAATGGAGTAATGCCAGAGAATTGACCACCTTCAGGTGTCTGCTTAAATGCCACCATCCTAGCATGTCCTACATGCATCCCAGAATGTCGGCATGGCATACATACATGAGCATCATACATTCCTCTAGCATGTAATGTTTGCCACAAAGAACTTTCACAAATGTTGGGCTGTAGTGGTCACTGGGCTGTTCACCAGATAATTCCGGCTCACCACTTTCCAGGCACATGGTAGAAGTACAGTTCTCCACCCCCTTTGAAATTAGGTATGACCAGGTGCCTTGCTTTGGGCTGAGGGGCTGTGTTTCATTTCTGTTAAAAGATTTAAGAGCCAGTGTATGATTTGCCACCTCTTTTTCTCCCCTCAGCCACTGTGACTAGCAAAGATCCACATGGCAGCTGCCCATTAGAGTGGGTCCCAGAAAGAAGGCAACACAGGCAGAGCCCAGGTTTACCCATGACAGACGTGCAGTGAAAGTAGGAAATGCCATGTGTTGTTTTAAAGCATGGGTTAGGCTATCCTGCCTGATACAGGAGCCAGGGTCCTTTTGTTCCTTCAGTGAAGCAGGTGGAAGTTGGGCTTTTGATGCCATTGATAATTCTTCCTGGAAAAAAGGGGAAATTGCACTGGTGGTGCAGAGGCAATGGTGGGTAGAAATACTGGGGCCTTAACATGAATCAAGGCAATGGCACCAAACTGTACTAGCAGTTACTATGCTCTTCACTACAATGTACTCCAAATGAAAGAAGAAAAAAAAGCCACCTTTACTTAAGAATGATCTTGAAGAAGCAGTAAAAATTACTTATATTATTAAATCTCAACCCAAAGAATTCATTTTCTTAATATTTGTTGAGTGAAGAAATAAATGAATGAATGAATAAACTGTCTCTGGAACAAAGCAGGTAACAGACTGACAGACCAGATTAAGAAGAAGCACGTGGGACAGAAATCCAGCCAGAGCCAGGCAGGGGCTCATCCAAGGAGAACCAAAATACTTGGCTGAGTATCGCCAGAGACCCAGTCAATAGGTCTGAATACCAGGTAGAAACTGATCTCAGGATCAAGCGAGGAAACCAGCTGTTGAAACAAGGTCCAAGGTAAATGCTAGATTAACTGCCAGACTAACCGTGGGCAGAGTTCCCCAGGGCTACTCAACTCCCCTGTAACTGTGGCCCAGACAGGTCTGGAGGCCTGTGGAGAGGCCAAACTTGAAGCAAGTTCAAGTGTCTTGACCTTGGCTGGAAAGAGGAAAACAACATACAGGGATGAGAAAATTGAGAGGCTGAAGCCCTTGGTTAGGCTTCTGTTACCATCCAGCTGTCAGTAACTCTCTAGTCATTATCTCCAGTCTAGTCCTCTCCTGAGTTACAGACTTGGATATCCAACTGCCATTCATTGTTTCCACCTGTAGGTTTCAAAGGCATTTCTAATGCATCATCGCCAAAGGCAAACTCATTATCCCTCCCAAACCAGTGTTCTTTCAAGTTTCCTTTTCTCAGCAAATGGACTCACTGTCCATCCACGTTCTGCAAGTCAGAAATCTGGGAACATTTGTTGACCTTCCCTCTCCCTCATCCAATCCAGTATCTTACCAACCTCCTAAATATCTTCCCCACCTGTGCACTTCTCTCCACCTCCACCAACAAAACCACTCTGGGTCAAGCCTTCTGCACTCTCTCCTTTAGACCACTGTCCTAGATTTCTAGGCTACTGACCTGAATCCACTCTGCCTGGATCCAACTGTTCTCCTACTGTGATCACAGGGATCCTTTCCAAATGCATCTGCCCTGTCATTGCCCTGCTTAAAGTTCTTCCAAGGCTCCTTGCTCTTAGGATAAAGATCAGACTCCCTACTGTGCTCTACAAGGCCAAGCATGGTTTTGTCCCTACAGTCTTGGTCCTACCTATGTCCCCTTCCTCCCATCACACCCCACTCCCTTTGCTCTGCATTCTAGTCCCACTGGCCTTCTTTTCAGTCCTTTGAATGTGTGTTGACTCCTCCTGCCCCAGGACTCTGGTTCATGCTGTCCCCTCTGCCTGCTCCAGCTGCCTTCAAGCCACTCTTGCCCAGATCTTAAAAGTCCCAGCAGAGTTTCTGACATTGGCTTCCTGCTCCATCTTGGCCTCCAGCTTTCAGGAAGGGCTTCCCTGAGTGTTGCACAGAACTGCCAAGGCTGGGCAGGGGGCCAGAGTCCCCACCATGGCCAACTGAGGAAAACAGAGCCGAGCTTCCAGCTGGGGAGCTGTGTCCAGCAAAGCTGCAGGGGGCTGGGTTGAATATCAAGGCACAGCATTTAACATCCTGGCACAGTCCCTGTGTCTCTGCTCTCCCATTCTTAAAAGGCAGGTGCTGGAAGCCGCTTGTGACCCTAGAAATGGATTGTTCTAGGAACCTGTTTTTTCCTCTGCCTGGATGGCTGGGCACCTTCCCACCTCTGCTCATCCTCTGAAACCTGAATCAGCCCTGCCTCTTCAGCCTGAGAAACAACAATCATTGACATTTGCGGGATGTTCTGTGGCTGGAAAGCACTTTCAAATTCTTGGTCCCTTTTGATCCTTGCCTCAACAAGATATGAGGAGGATATTCTTACTACTATTTCCACTTTAAATAAGAGGAGGCTGGTGCTCAGAGTGGCAAAGTGACTTATCTAAGATCGCACCATTATCAAGACACAGATCCAACCCAAAAGAACTGAAAAATAGGTGTTCAATCAAATACGTGAACACCAATGTTCATAGCGGCACTATTCACTGTAGCCAAAAGGTGGAAACAACCCAAGCACCCATCATTAAATGAATGGATAAGCAAATTACAGTATATGCATGCAATGTAATATCGTTCTACCATAAAAAGAAAGTGCTGACACGTGCTACAATGAGGATGAGATTCAAAAGCATTATGCTAAGTGAAAGAAACCAGACACAAAAGGTCACATATTGTATGATTCCATTTATGTAAAATATCCAGAGTAGGTAAATCCATAGAGACAGAACACAGATTGGTGTTGCCATGGGTTAGGAGGAAAGGGGAAATGGGGAGTAACTGCTTAATGGGTTTGGGGTTTTTTTTGGGGGGGTGATAAAAATGTATTGGAATTAAAGAGAAGAGAAGTGGTCATTGCACCACATCATGAATGTATTAAATGTCACTGAATTGTACCTTTAAAATGGTTAATTTTATGTGAATATGACCTTGATAAAATAAAGAGGCAGACCCCAAATCCCAGCTCCTTCCCAACCTCACAGAGTTTAACAGTGATCAAAAGAAGCTGTTGACATTGCTGTATGACATGCCACAGAAAAGCACACTCCACAGGAACAATGTTTTAAAACGCAGATCTATTTTCTGGATCTACTTACAGTAAACTGTGGCCCTGTGGTAAAAGGATCAGGAAACAGGTTCATTGTATCAGCCGGGAATGCTTTTATCTTCAAAAGAGAGAAAGATTACCTTCAGATTAGAAAACAAAGTTTTGACATCTTTGGCAGTGCACCTTTAAACCAAACTGAAGGATTCAGGGGGACCCTCGCAGGGCCTTCATCACTGTTTCAGGGCACACACTGAGGGTCGCTCCGAGTGTCACTCCGAGTGCTGGCCAGCAGCTGCATCTGTGCCTGGCATTGAACTGCAGGCTGGGCTTGGCAGGGAGGGCAGGCTGGAGTCTCACTGAGGAGCACCCCACACTTGCCTCCTTCTGGATCTACTTACAGTAAACTGTGGCCCTGTGGTAAAAGGATCAGGAAACAGGTTCATTGTATCAGCCGGGAATGCTTTTATCTTCAAAAGAGAGAAAGATTACCTTCAGATTAGAAAACAAAGTTTTGACATCTTTGGCAGTGCACCTTTAAACCAAACTGAAGGATTCAGGGGGACCCTCGCAGGGCCTTCATCACTGTTTCAGGGCACACACTGAGGGTCACTCCGAGTGTCACTCCGAGTGCTGGCCAGCAGCTGCATCTGTGCCTGGCATTGAACTGCAGGCTGGGCTTGGCAGGGAGGGCGGGCTGGAGTCTCACTGAGGAGCACCCCACACTTGCCTCCCCCTGGAACTGCCTTCACTGGGATCTGCTTGGGCCTTCTGTGCCTGCTGGGTCCTGGGACTGACCTGCAAAAGGTACCAGCAGGCTGGGCCAATTAAGCCAGGAAGTATACCCTGTCCAATTGCTTTAGTTGTTGGGCTCCCAGTCCACTTTGGGGAGGAAGGAAACTTTGGGGGAACCCATGGAAGCATGAGAGAATCCTGCCATCATGGCCTTTGGGAACAGAAGGCCTGGTGCTCAGAAGTTTCCAGTGCTGGGGAAAACTGCGGCACAGAGCTGGTCTGAAAGAGGTCAGATGCACCAGCCTGACCAGAGAGTGGTGTCTGAAAAGACCCTCAGGTTCCATTTCTTTCTTTCTCTTTGGTCATTTTGTCTTTGGCCTCCTGGAGGCCTTGGGGAGTGGGAGAGCTTATTTCCTCAAGCCACACTAGGGTAAGCCAGCAGGCCCAGGGACCTGGTGACAACTGGCACTAGCTTTGTTTGCAGCCCCCAGGGCACAGAAACTACCTGCACACCTGCTGGTGAATCACACTGTACCACGCACTGCAAGAGGGCTGCAGCCAAGACACTGAGGCCACCACTGCCCAGGGTCAGCAGCCTTGGTGTCTCATGGGGTCTTGCCTGAGGACCCCAGAGTAGCTACCTCATGTATCTTGAGCCGCTCTACTGGGAGGGTAAGCTAGGGATGAGCAAGAACACATTAGACGAGACCCACATTGGCCGAGGCTTTCTGAATAGGTGGAGCAGGTCTCAACCAATGTGGCAATGACAATGTCCTTGCGATCTGCACTGAGATGTCCAGCCCAAGTCTGCTCCCCTTCCCCCAAATCTCTCCAGTCTCTTTAAACATCTGAAAATTTCCAGAATGAACCCCAAACTGCTTTTCGAACAAAAAGAGAGGAGGACTGTCAGGGGGAAGCCTTGTGGTACATTCTCCTCGCATTGCCTAATTGGTCAGTCAACGTAGTGTTCTGAGACGAATGTCCTAGTGAAAGGTCACCTGCAGATAAGACCCTCAGACCATCCTAAAGTAGAAGGGAAAAAGTGGTTTATTCATGCTATTTAAAAAACGTGAAAATTAGCAACCTCAATGAATTATTTTATACCTGCTGTAAATAAGAAAAATACAGTCCAACAGTTACACTCTGTGTTGCTCAGGCTATAGCAAAGCATATTCCCTCTCTCCTGATGGCACTGTCAGTTGCTACAAACACTTTAGAAAGGGAGCAAAATCCAAAGTCATAATGTTTAACCCAGCAGGGGCTAGCCTAAGAAAATAAAACGCCTGACACAAAAAGCTATATGTGTTCCTTCGAGTAGTGACAAACTGGAAACAAAGCACATATCCTGCAGTAAAGAATTTGTTAGGTAAATGGTGGGCCATTCACTGATGCAATATAAACAGTTGCATAGAACAGGACAGAAACAACACAGCACTGAGAGAAAGGAGAAAAACAGGAGACGATCTGGCTGCTATGACTTAACTACAAAATTATAAAGGAAAATGAATAAATAAAAGGAAACATGCAAAAATAAAAAAAGCTGTGCTAGGTTGGGATTATTAGATTCAAATTATTAGGTAACACCCCTATTATAACATTATTTTGGTAAATCACAGAAGACAAGTTAAATTTTTAAAAAATTTTCCATAGAGATGCAACTTAAGAGTCTATCTGGTGAGTACCAGAGAATATATTTCTCTCTGGGAAAAGCATCTATGCTCATCAAAATTCTAGGAAAACAAACTCTTCTGGTTCTTGAGACCTAGCGCCGAAGGGGTGGGAACACGGCCGTGTGTCCTAATTTGAGCAGAGCCGGCTGGACTCCAAACGCTCCGTCCATCCTGGAGCGAGAGCACCTGTCGGCCGGGCTCCTGGGGGGCCTGGTGCTCACACACACCCCTCCAGGCCTACGCCTTGCCTGGGGGCTCCTGCCCAGCTCGCCTGTCCTGGCCGGGCCCCTCTCCCTGCCAGGGTACCTACCAGCCTCGTTTTGATTGGAGGGTACATGCAAACTCCAGTGGTCTCTTCCTTCATGGGGAGAGAGAGTGGAGGAGAACAGCGAGAGTGGGCACAGTGGGGGTTGCTGGCGGGCTCTGCCTGCTCACGAGGAGAGGAGAGAAGGGGAGGAGGAGGTGGAGAGAGGGGAGGAGGAAGAGGAGATAGGGGGGGGAGGAGAGAAAGACAGCACAGTGCAAGACGGATCTGGCAACTCCAGACTGTTCTCCAGCCAGCCTCACCCGCGGCCTGCCTCCAGCCTCTGGCCAGCTGGCATCCAGTCCCGCCCTCCGCCCTCCTGTCTCAGCCTTCTCTCCTCATCTCTGGCCCTCGTCTGTCTTCTCCACTGTCTGAGCAGAACGGCATACCAAAATTCCATTCCCAAGGCTGGTTGGTAGAGGTTGTCTCCTGTGCCAACTGCACAGGACTGGTCGTGGCTCCCTGGCACGCTGTTGAGTGTTCTGAAGCATTGCCCAGGCCAAGCCAGAAGGAAAGCCATGATGAATTAGGGATGCCAGCCATGGCAGCCATAGGAGGAGGGGTCACACACTCGAGAGCAGTTGCCGTCCATGCCCAAGTGCTCTACTGCGCTAGAAGGAAAGCCATGATGAATTAGGGATGCCAGCCATGGCAGCCATAGGAGGAGGGGTCACATACTCGAGAGCAGTTGCCGTCCATGCCCGGTGCTCTACTGCGCATGGTCGTGGCTCCCTGGCACGCTGTTGAGTGTTCTGAAGCATTGCCCAGGCCAAGCCAGAAGGAAAGCCATGATGAATTAGGGATGCCAGCCATGGCAGCCATAGGAGGAGGGGTCACACACTCGAGAGCAGTTGCCGTCCATGCCCAAGTGCTCTACTGCGCTCTGCTAATAAGGGCACCCATCGTGGTGTGTAGGCAAGCCGCTGTCCAACAGAGAGCATCAGGGAAGAGGTTCATCAGGGAGGAACACAGGGTTTAGTATTTCATCTGTCCTGGCTCTTTGTCACATCATTGTTTTTGCTTGTTTGTTTGCTTTGGCAGCTGACCAGTAAGAGGATCTGAACCCTTGGCGTTGGTGTTATAACACGGCGCTCTAACCAATGCGCTAACTGGTCAGCCCTGTCCTGGCTCTTTGTTATCTGTGTTCAGAAAACATCCTCGTCCTGACCCACCTACCACACTCATTGGCATCTCATACTGGGGCACCTGGCTGCTTAGCCAGAAGATACCAAGCATCATGAGAAAAGTACCACATCAATGGGATACCGGGTTCCCCACCCTAACCCACAACAGTGCCATGCACCCAGCAGAGGTCCAACAGCTTGTCCCAGTGAGAATGAGGATGGTGGACAGAGGATGTTTGATGCTGGGGGGAGGGGGGGTGGCAGGGTTGGTTTGGGCTTCAGAGAGGGACCATTTGCTCCAGAGAACAAATACACATATCTTTCAGTTCAAGAGTTTCCTTAAATAGTGGTATCACCCTACCGTGAAGAATAAAATACAGCCTCTGGGTAAGTTTCATTGAAAAATGATCAAGAAAATTGCAGGCCTCTTTTCCTGCTCCCAATTGAGCTAACTCTTGCCCTCTTTACAATTGTACAGTCTTGGACAATTTCCAAAGGACTTTTACAACCATTATCTCACAATGGTTTTCACAACAGCCTCATTTTGCTATTCAAATTTGGGAGATGTAGAAATTGCATTCGCAAGTCTAAATCTGTGATTCTAGACCCTCCTGTTGATTGTTTCTAAATCCATTCTTCAGAGACAAGTGAGTCCATACTAGTCACCTGCAGTTAACTTTTACTAGACTACTTAAAATCCTCCCAAGTACTCTCCGTTGTCCTCAGGATAAATCCTGAGATGGTGCATGAGGCCAGCATGAGGCTGGCCCCTGCCTGCCCTCCAGGATCAGTTCCCACAACTGCCCCAGTGCATCCATGCTCGAGCCAGAGCCAACCACACCAGGGACCCCAGGCCACCGGGTCTTTGCCCCTGCTGATAACAGTAGGCACTCAATGTGTATTTTTTGAAGAAAATAAAAGCTGGCACCAATGACCAAGAAACAAGGCCTTACTGACTAGAGGCCAAAATGTGTACTGGACATTTAATTGAAGATTATAATAAGCGACTTAAGGTTTTGCCTAGCATTGCACTTTTATGGTAAAGAAGTGTTGATCCGTCTCACAAGCATTTCTGACCTTTCTAAATATGTGTCTGAATGAATTTAAAGAAAAGAACATTCCTGGGGCTCCCATACTCTTGACTCATAGCAAATGAGAAGGAAATAAGGATACTATTTCGAAATACCATTTTATTTTTTCTCCTGGTATTTCCTTTCCTCTTTGGGTCTTCTCCATATTCAGGCAGCTACACTCTTCTACGGATACTTGGCTTTTAATTTTCAAAATCTGATTCTTTGGAAAACAGAAAGATTCTTGGTATAGATAAATAATAGTAAAAATGTATAAAGCTGATTCATCATCCGGAAAATAAAAGAGATTGCTAGTTTAAGGATAGGGGAGAAAGGTCAGAGGGAAAGTGGAGAGGGGCAGACATTAGTGAGTATTAAGCATTAATTATTAAGGGCCCATTAAGTATTAAAGGGGCCCTGTGCCCCTTCTCTATGAGCTGAGGTTAGGGAACAAGCATGAAATAGCAGCGAGGACCACTGTCCCCCTGTTCAGGTAAAGCTAGGGAGGGGGCAGGCTCCAGGACAGAATGGCCCCAGGACAGAATGAGGTCCAGCAGGAAGGGATTCACACATCCCTGGAGGACAGTGATTTCCACCCATTCAAAAGGGCCATGAAAGAAGCAGAGAGTGTCCCAGACGTATCAGCAAACAGATGACATCATGGTCTAAACAAACTTATCTCCACCTCCCTGTGCCCTGGGGAACAGAGATGAAACCACAGGGAGACAGAAGAGGCACCCTGATTTGATTTGAAATTAAGCTTTAGCTCTCCCGGTAGAATGAGGTTCAAGGACACGATACGTATGTATTTTCTGTAAACTGACCCTAGTTCTCAGATCCACTAGGCCCTTCAATGAATATTCAGTACATTGCTCATGCTGTGCTTTCTGCAAAGAAAGCCTTGGCCCACTTTCTTCACCTGGAAAACTCCTATTCATACTTTAAAACCCTGGTACTGTGAAACCTTCTTTCCCCAGTGCCCCTAGTCATGGTTGGACAGTGGGTCCCACAGCAACAGCAGCTCATATAGACTCTCTCAGGGCATTCATTGCAGCATAATTTAGCAGCCTGGACGTTGTCTGTGCGTCCAACTCAGAGAGATATCTTCCTCCACTGGCTTCTATTCCTGCTAGTACGTTTTCCTCAACGTGGCCCTGGGAACTTGGCTTTCTCCTCCTTCTGCCTTTGTAGGCCCTCAGGTTGTACCCTAGGGGTTCTCAGGCCCCTTTGGGGGATGCTGCCCTCCAGGTAGACCAGATGTCTTCAGATTGCTACTCGGGTTTAGCCTCCATCTCCCACAACAAGGTCTTCCTGGGATGCAAAGCCTCAGCTGGATACACAGCTGGGATACTGATATAGCACCAGGTCCAGGCCGCCTAACTTCCTGTGCTTCCTCCATGCCCCTTGTTCTACTTTTGCAGTCTGGGGAGTGCTTTAAATTAGCCCTACTTCCAGGCATTGCTTTTTTTTCCCAAGTGTCAAGTTCCCAAAAGAGGAGATGAGATTTAGCCCAATTTGATGCATAGCACACTGGAAGAGGAGCAGGGACACCTGGGTTCCAGCTCCAGCGTGGTTCTTGTGTGATTACCTCTCTCTGGGACTCAGTTTCCCCATCTGTGCAAAGGGGTGATGAGGTAATGCTGAAAGGTCCTATGTTTCTGGGTGATCCTATTTGAAAGGCAGGCGAGAGGTGCCCTTCCATCCGTGAACAATCTTGGCAACTTATTTAACAACAAGGCACGAGTAACTCTGCTGTTTACTTGAACACAGGAACGGGGTAACTGAGGGGTCTCAGAGCAGGTATCAACCACCGTCAGTTCTCAGCTGTTTATCCAAAGGTGCTGACTCAAGCTCTGACTGTACCAACTCTCCAGATGACAAGGACAATTGTATCAATGGTTTCCCTGGGCCAGCTGACCAGGAATGGTGATAATTCCTAAAGCCTGAGCAGCATTTTGCCCCATGTGTCCTTTCTTGAAAGCCTTCCAGAAATCTCTCCCATCCCCCACACTCCTCCAGCAAGTTGGCCCTGAATGACTCCCACTTCCTCTTCTCCCTGAGCATCTTCTACATGGCTCTTCTGTCATGCTGGCCATCTGTCAACTGGGCCTCCCCTGCAGCCTCTGACTGCCCTCGCTTCCCCAGAGGCCAGCACATGGCCAGGCACACAGTCAATTCCCAGGAGTTGGCTCACATTTCTGACTTGGCTCACATTTCGACTCACAGTCCAAAGCTGTGAACCATGATTTCTGCTCAGGCATACTCAGGTATTTACCTGAGGCACGCCAAAGACATATCCAAGTTTGCTTGCGTCACCTAATAATATTAGTAATACTTTGTACGCATTTGTGGTGCTTTCTATTCTCGAAGAGCTCTCTCTCTCTCCTCTTAAAATACTCCTGTGTGGTAGACAGGGCACATAATGACATTCTTATTTTATAGAAAATGGGGCAGTGACTATCCAATGACAAGGCTCTTAAAAAGGGGAGCAGAGAGTGGAGCCATGCCTGGCCTGTGTGGCTCCTGGTTTGGTGCTCTGTTCCCTAAAAAGGGTGCCTCACCTGCAGGAGTCCCACAAAGGCCACCTCCCTAAGGGCAGACCTGTACGCAGAGGAAGGACAATGGTGGGAGGTGCGAGGTGCCTGGAAAGCTGGGGTGTGACCTTAAGCCAGGGCCTCAGGCCAGACAGATTGTTGGAAGCCACAGCAAGAGATGCCCCATGGGAGGGCATGCAGGGCACAGCCCAAGAAGCCAAGCACGGAGGAGGCCCACAGCATTTGAGGAGCAGCAGACAGGTGGGGTCAGGACCCCTGCAGTCACCCTCAGAGGACAGGGAGCACCTGCCCCTCAGGGGCTCTGGGAGGTGGAGGGACCCCTGGTACCTGAACCCTCGACAAGAGCTGATCCCTAAGCCTGCAGGATAAGAAGAGCCTTCTCAATAGCAGTGCCCACCTCTGTCCATCCACCCCACCACCAACATGTGTCTATGGTCTGTGCATTTTCTGGTTTTAGCAAAATAGGAAGTTTACCAGAGGAGTGGCTTCTGTGAAATCCATCAGAAGATCGCCTGGTTCCAGGGTAAAGGCACCTCCTCGGTCAGAGGGGCTCTATGAAGGCAGACAAAGATATCTCTGGTCAGTGACAGCTCTGGATTGACAATGGAATTTACCAGAAAAGACAGAGGTTCCCAACCTCTCCTCTACCCCCTTTCTAACACTGAACTCATTAGCATGCCAACTGCCCCCCACCCCGCTCCATATTTCCCTTGCTCAGCATTGTAGGAAATGTTGAGACTGAACCCTAATTTTTTCTGAAAACTTCATGGGTAGAAGCAGGGTGTGGTGTGGGAACTGTCCTTTTTAAAGTGGCAAACAACTTTTCTTAAGTGCTCTGAGTGCTGTTTGACTGGTCATTTGGGAGAAAACACTTTAAAGAGTCCTCTGAATCTATAGAGAGAGAGCCAGGACTTTGTGCTGGATCAGGAGGATCGATTGGCCTCCAGGCGCTAGACAGATCTGCGCAGTAATGAAAATCTTCATGGTGGGTGGGTGGCACCTTGAAATTTTTGTTCCTTGTTTTTAGAAAATATTTTGTTCTGGGCCAAGCCCGTGGCGCACTCAGGAGAGTGCGGCGCTGGGAGCACAGCGACGCTCCTGCCGCGGGTTCGGATCCTATATAGGGATGGCCGGTGCGATGCGCTCACTGGCTGAGCATGGTGCGGTTGGTCACAAAAAGGACAAAAAAAAATAAATAAATAAGAAAATATTTTGTTCTTCTGCTCTGGGGTTTTAGCTGCCTTGAACGGGTTCGGATCCTATATAGGGATGGCCGGTGCGATGCGCTCACTGGCTGAGCATGGTGCGGCTGGTCACAAAAAGGACAAAAAAAAATAAATAAATAAGAAAATATTTTGTTCTTCTGCTCTGGGGTTTTAGCTGCCTTGAAGCCCTTTGAGGGAGAAAAAATGAGCCCCATCAACTTGGTGCAAGCAGGGTCCCAAGGAGGGAGACAGCCGGGAGAGGGGAGCCCTGTGGCCTTTGTGCGTCTACCCCACCCCTCCGCCGCAGCTCCCTTCTGTTTTGTGAGTATTTCAGCTTGGTTTCAACCAAGCTGTGCGGTATATGATAGGAACCTGTGTCCACACATGGAACAAAGCAATACAGGGGACACAGCAGAGGGGAAGCCAACTTGAGGGGCCAGGATTTGGTCTACAGAGAAGCAGAGAGCTTCCGTCTGGGCCAGTCACTGGCTGAGGGGTCCATCCAAATTTTTGTGAGGAACACAGAGGTATTCCCAGAGACACCTGGGAAAAGGACCCGGTGAAAGACTGGCCTTGGTCAGGCAGGGAGTGGGCCTAGACTGTTGTTATTTAGATGTTACCAGGAACCTTGATCCCTGAAGCTGCAGAAGACTCGGGCGTCCACTTTGCACAAGAACTTACACTTCCGCTGGACCCAAAGCCAGCCCATGAGCTGGGCGAGGTAGCAGATCTTATTCCCATTTTTAGGAGGAGGAAACTGAGGCTTGGAGAAACAAGGGCTTTGGAAGTGCTCTCAAAAAGAGCAGTCACGAGGCGTGTGAATGGAGGAGCTGGGAACAGACTCTGGGGCTCTGGTCTTGCCCTCAAGGGCACCGCCCCATACACATACCTCTGCTCAGGGTGGCTGTTTGGACCAAAGCCACCTTTGACTCACCATCCACTGGGATAGCAATAGGTTTGACTGTATTTGGACCCAATTGCCCAAGAGCAACCATAGCTAGAGGTCACTCAAGACAGACATTGTGTGTAAGGCCTTTGTCACAGCCCATTCACATCTCTGGCGATTTCCTGACATTGCGAACTGGCAAATAGAATAATACTTCCCATTTTCAAGCTATTAACACAGGCTATCCAATATAAAGAATGGGACGAAGACACTTCTTTGTGCTTACTCCTCCAAATTGTCCACTATAAGGGGAAATGTTTCTCATTTTCTATCTTTACAGCGCAGTAATAGCTTATGTAGGGATAATATTCTAAATCAAAATTGTCCTTGGTTTTATACTTAGTTTTATACAATATTATACTAGCTCTCTCACAAATGGTTGGCTTATATTTTGCAGACAGGTTATATAAAAACATGTTTGGTGGTTCTTGCTGTTGTTTTATGATTGCACACAATTGATTATGAAAAATTTAAATGCCCACCCCAGATGCCACTGACTACATTGATACTGAATTCCTAGCAAGAGCAGCTACTCCTCAGGGTTTTTTCCCATACCTTGGCCCCTGGGGACAGCTGGCCCTTGCCTTCTGACTTCTGAGGCGAGCAGACTTTCTGGACCTTGGGGGACGCCAGTGGTACTGAGACTTGCGTGGCGGCAGTTGCAGTGTTTGTGGCTGTAGCTGGGGTCACTCCCACTGCCTCAGCCAGGTCTGGAGGAAGGTCGTCTTCATCACTGCGGTTACTAAAAGCACATGAAGCTCTGCTCATTACAATAATAAACAGACTGTGAGAAGTGGAGGGAGCATGGGGAGGGGTGGGAAAGCCAGGGCTGGGGGTGGAAGCTCCCTAAACAGATGTCCACCAGATGTCCATTTTTTTGCCAAAGCAAATTTGGGCTGGATTTTCTGTCACTTGCCAGAGTTTTTTCATTTTTGTTTTTTTAAATTGTGGCAAAATATCCATAACCTGATATTTATCATTTTAACCATTTTTAAGTGTACAAATGCATTCACAGTGTTGCGCAACCATCACCACTATCTATCCCCAAAACTTTTTTCATCAACACGACAGAAACTCTGTATTGTTGACAAGAACTTCCCAAAGCCTCCTCTCAGCAGCCTCTGGTAACATCTATTTTACTTTCTGTCTCGATGAATTTGCCTGTTCTAGGTACCTCCTATAAGTGGAATCATACAACATATGTTCTCCTGGGTCTGGTTTATTTCACTCACCATAATGTTTTCCAGGTCCATCCTTGTCGTAGCATAGATCAAAATTTCATTCCTTTTTTATGGTGAAAAATACTCCATCATATAGATGTACCACATTTTGCTTATCCATTCATCTGTTGATGGACACTGGGATTGTTTCCGACTTTTGGCTACTGTGAATAATGCTGCTATGAACACTGGTGTACAAATATCTGTCTGACTCCTTTGCTTTCAGTTCTTTTGGACTGGAATTCCACCTAGGAGTGGATCGATCATATGGTACGCCTATGTTTAACTTTTTGAGAAACCACCAAACCAAGGGATGTTATTTTGAGTGGCTTCCCTTAGGTGGGTAAATACGAGGCTTTTAGGAACCCACTGCTCTGAGCAAAGGTATAATGGCACCTTCTATGGCCTAACAGCAACTGTCCCTTTGGTGTAACAAACTGGTTACAGGGCAGGAGTTGGGCACATTTGTTTTGGGGCCCAGTAGCTCTGGTCTTAGAACCTCTCTAATAAAATGAGATGACCTAGGCAGGAAGCCACCATTCCGAACCCTCGGCGGGAGCGCCACCACACTCCCAAGCGGCACACTATAGCAGTGCGCCACCGGGCCGGCCCCCACTGTAATAAACTGTTAACCACACTCATAACTGCTGTTCTGAGTTCTGTGAGTCCTTTTAGTGAATCACCACTCTTGAGGGTGGTCTTAGGGATGGACCCCTGGCACACTGCCTTTAAAGATCTTCCATGTGGAACTTCTAAAGCCATCTTGACACATAGCCTGTGCTTTAGAAATGATAGCCGAGCTCAAGAGTGTAGATAAAAGACCTGTGACCAGTGGGCACACATGTGGCCTGTGCAGGGCTCCTAACATGGCCTGTGCAGGGCCTCATGTGGCCACAGGACACAGCTGCAGTGTGGATATGATTGGCTGTGGAGGACCCTACAGGATTTTAGATCATTCCATGTATGGAGAAACCTCAAGAGGAGGATTTAGGATTTATTACTAAGAAGGGGGAAAGGCGAGGTTTGAATAAGTATGTGGAAAACTTAATATGACATCACATATTTGAATCTACATTGATGAAACAGGTCAGATCAGTTTCACATGCATTTGCCCATTTAATTTTCATAACAACCCTGTATTATGATCTCCATTGTCCAGAGAATCAGATGATATTCAGTGGCTGATTACTGAATTATTTGCTCAAGGTCACATAGCTACTTAAGTGGAGGAGTGGGGTAAATTTTTTACTTCGTCTTTAAAAATTGTAAACTTAAAGACATAATTATTTAGTTTTAAATAAAAGGCCATTTTAAAAACATAGCTCATCTTTCACAGCAGGTTGTCAACTGATACTGTCTAAAATTTAAAAGACTCCAAATGCTTCACAGTTTTTATAATCTTTTGTCTTAACTTAGATCTTATGACAAAGAAACATAGCTAAAATTCAGCAAGTCTTCCAATGTTGCCTCATTTTCTGAGGTAAATTCATGTTAAATCCACAAAACAGCATTTTCATAAGTAGAATTTTATGTATAGAATGATCTTTGCTTTGAAATTATTTCTTTTTTTAACAACACGTATGCACAGAAACGTGTCTAATGTAACAGACATCAACTGTGAATACTGATTATTTTTGATGGCAGATTCTAGGGAATTGGTTACTTTTCTCTGTGGACTTTTCTGTCTTTGCCCACTGAATTTTTTTTTTTTTAAAGATGACCGGTAAGGGGATCTCAACCCTTGGCTTGGTGTTGTCAGCACCACGCTCACCCAGTGAGCAAACCGGCCATCCCTATGTGGGATCCGAACCCGGGGCCTTGGTGTTATCAGCACCGCACTCTCCCGAGTGAGCCATGGGCCGGCCCATGCCTACTGAATTTTTAAAGACTTTTCATACTATGCTGAAATAAATAGTGAAGTTATATTTCTGGAAAAAAATGGAGCAGCTTATTATTTTCTAAACACATTAGCTGGTATCAGAATAAAAATGGCACTGTCACCTGCCTCAAACTCTTTGCAGAGTTCCTCTGCTTCTCCCTTCTCTGCATGCAGTAGCCACAGTCTTCCTCCCTGTCTTATTTCCAAGAAGGAACATGGCTGAGATTTTGTTTTTATTCCTAAAAGTAGTGGGTTGATAACTCGCTCAGAGCACCTCACTGTTATAATACTCTTGGTGGAACAACCTAAAATCCAAACACACATAATTCCAGCCTAGCAATTAAGAATATTATAACAGCAAGACGAGCTGTGTGTGCGCACGCATCAGTATCTCAAAAACGGTAATGTATAAAATATTTCCAGAAAATCAGAAATCTGAGTTTTCCCACGGGTCTTCCTTGACCCCGTGTTGATCAACTTCATCAATACCTATGAGTTAAAGAAAAGAGCAAATGAGTGGTAACCAGTGTCAAGGATTCAAGGACTATTTGTGGGACAAAAACTTAACAAGGGGAAAATCCAATACATTATTTTTTCTATTGTCTACTAATGGAGAAAATGCTGCCATTATTTGATTTTTGAATGAGAATACTTTGGGGCAGCTTAAGAAATACACATGTGAAGTTAGAGGTTTGAAAAGGGTTTCCTTAAAAGAACCGATTTGGTGAGTTAGGGAAATTTTCTTTCCTTCCAGGCCATGTATCAGTTAGTCATTGTTTCAAACATTACTGCATATCCTAAATGGGTGATAATAACATTTTGAGTTTCAGAATGCAAAGGAAAGGGCAAGGGCCGCCAGCTTTGTCCTCAGGGAAGCAGATTTGGGTGGCTTAATTTGTCCCCCAGAGATCATTAGGACTGTTAATTATTTGAACCTTACTCATTTTGGCTTTCTTAGGAAATGCAGGTGCTATACTGTCCAGAAGGTTCTATTAAGGCTAATGAGGTGGGATTTGTCTGCCCTTAAAATCCCCCTGCACGCCTCTTCCTCTTTTCACAAGGTGCACATGGCAGGCCTGAGATGGCTGTTTGAGAACTGCATCTGGGGTTACACTCCCTGTCCTACGCTTTCCACTCTGGGCATTCCCTAAACTTGACCTTCTCTCAGGAGCTTCCAGGTCCTATATGGCCAGGCCCCTTGCTAGGGGCTTTACCCAAATTGCCTTGTATTAACCCTCACAAAATCCCTCAGAGGTAGGTATTATCTCACCCATTTTATCAGTGAAGAAAGAAAGGCTCAAAGAGCAATTTTCCCAAGAGCTTGCTGCTGTAAACCGGCCAGGGCCCTAACAGAAGCCTTCCGAACTCCAGAGCCTCCAAGCTTTCCCTTGCATCCAAAGATTCCCCCCTACAGCTCTCTGACTAATGACACATCCAGGCACAGGCCCTGGGTGACAGCCAAGGTCAAGAAATGGAACTACCATGGTGATCAGCACTACAACTATTACAAATACCACCACCTCCTCACTATAGCATTCATCTGCCTTCTTTGGATTATAGTTATTTGTGACTCTGACTTTCTCTCCAATAAACTGTGAGTCTTTGGATGGGAATTTTCAAAGTCACTTTGCTGTTCTCTGACAATGCCTAGAACAGACCAGTGCACACCACAGCCAAGAGACTTGTTAGGCCAAACAGAACTGGACTGGGACACTCTGGGATATGGCACCCCCTATAGGTCCCATATAGGTCCATGATTAGCTTTGACTGTTCATGCTACCATTTTACCAATGTGCTGAGGAAAGCAGCTTCTGATCGGCCCCCAGTGATCCCTGTCCGGGTATTCACTTGCCCACGTAATGCCTCCTCTTGAGTGTGTGCTGGATCTAGAGACTTGCTTCTAATGAATAGAATATGGCAAAGTGATGAGATGACATCTCTGTGATTACAAAAGACTGTGACTTTTGTCTTGCTAGCACTCTCTCTTTGGCTCTTCTTGTGTGTTTTCCCGATAGAGACAGCTAGAGAAGCCTACGTGATGACAAACGGAGGGCAAGCGCAGCCCCACAAAAGACTGTGACTTTTGTCTTGCTAGCACTCTCTCTTTGGCTCTTCTTGTGTGTTTTCCCTGATAGAGACAGCTAGAGAAGCCTACGTGATGACAAACTGAGGGCAAGCGCAGCCCCCTGGCCCTCAAGGAACTGAATCTTGTCAGCTACCACGTGAATGAGTCTTCAGATGAGACCACAGTTCTCACTGGCACTTTGAATGGCACCTTGTGAAAGACCCAGACACAAAAGGCCCAGCTAAGCTGTGCCCAGACCCCCAACCCACAGAAACTGTGAAGCGATAAGTGTGGATTGTTTCAAGACACTAAGTTTTAGAGTAATTGGTTATACCACAATCGATAATAAACACATATGCCAACTATGTAATGTTTTCGGGGAGAAAGGTCTAGTCCCACTATGACCTAAATTGGAAATAAACGGAATTTAGGGGATGGCTCGCTGGGAATGATCTGAAGGGCTAAGAAACATTTATAATCGAACATTTAGCATCACTGTAGTTCTTACAATTGAAAAACTTGCAGTACAGAACTCACAAACTATACTGTCTTGTTAACTTCCTCACTCGGGGAGGCTTGATTTCCGGCTTTTCCACAGCTGGTTGGGTAGTTTCCACACGTATAGGAATAGGACTTCTAGAAACATACCAAAGAAAAAACAGAACAACAACAAAAAAGGTGTATTGTCTTGTTTTGGCCATAAGAGACTGCCTTCTCAGTTAATTTATACCTTAATACCATTGACAGTCAAGAAATCCAATTTTTTTCTTCTCTTCTCTACTTATTTAATTATCACAATTATTTTTAAAAATTATAGAAAATCCAAAAACAAAAACAAAAACCAAAAAAAAAAAAAATAGGAAAGAAAATACAAGTAGGAAACTAAATTTAATAAGGGAACCAAATAAAATTTCCCTGCCCCCAAACAGCCACCTGCCCACCCCCAATATGAGGATTTGATTCATAATCCGGTTTTGTTAATAAATTGAGTGAAGAGAAACCTATGGGTAAGCTGTTTTTACTTCCAAGTGATCTGGTAGCTATGCTATTTAAAACACAGCACAGAATATATTTTTTTAAAAAGATAAAAAACCATTGTATATTTTATGTGAAAAAAACGCATAATCAGAAGATCTTTAGGAGTGGCTCTAAAACATTTTAACTCTATGCACATGTAAAAATGTTACAAATTAAGTTTCACTTTTATCTTTCCTCAAGAATTTATGCCAGATGGTTATCTGGGCCCTGCTCAAAACAATGATTTTTAAGGAAAAACTGTAACACATTTTTGTAGTGGTCATGACTAATTTCATTTTTTAAAAAACAGTTATTACCTTCTAGGACCAAATCAAAACTAGTTGAGGTCCTCAACAAGGGACCTCTGCCAAAAAAATGGACACTTCTGGGCCTCCATTTTCTCTTCTATTCAGTGCCTAATTTGGTGATAGTTCTGTGGCCTAATAACTGGACTAATGTGATAGGCCAGTGCCTAATAAACACTTGTTGAACAAACGCGTGGATGAGCAAATAAGGAGTTGGAGTCAACCCATTCTACATTCATGGTTTCCTCAAGCTGGAACCCCTAGATCACCTGGGGTGCTTGTTAAAATGCTGATTTCTGTCCCTGCCAGTACCCCCACCCCCAAACACAGGATCCGAAAGGTTTGGAGTAAGGACCCAAGAACTCCCAAATCTAGCCAGGGAGCACATGACTTTGCTTGGGTGGAATGGTTGGTATCTGGAAAAGCTTCACGGAGGGCTTGACTCTCAACTAGATGGAGGGAAAACCACCAAGGTGGGAGACAGAGTGGAGACCAGGCTGAACGCAGGGCACTGAAACTGCTCCAGGGTAAGGTCCCAGTGAAAGAACAGGGATTTCAACCTGCAGGGACCAGGTCACGAGCAGCCTCAGGCTGAGGAGCTTACACCGCAGGCAGCGGCAGCCCCGGCGGCATCTCTGAAGGTCTTAGGCAAGGGCGTGGCATACTCAGACTCGCAGTTTAGAAAGGTCCTGAGAGCACTGAACAGCACGCTGGTGAAAGGAGGCCAGGATCATTCTGGAAGACTGTTGCAGTGGTAATCCCAGAAGAGAGATGATGAGCGCTCGAGGTAGACAGGGATTACGGTCATGAAAGAAAGAGGACGGATGTGGGAAATAAGACCAAAGTCAAATTGGCAGGACTTGGTGGCCAATCAGGTGAGGGGATGAGGTAGGATAAAATCAAGGACTCCCAAAGTTTAGGCCTGGGCAAGGGGAAGGTAATAAGGCCATTCACCAAGATGGGTGGGGTGGGGTGGGAAGAGATGAATTAAGTTTTTGAAAGGTCTTAGAGGCAGCTGGGTATGTACCTCGGGAATAAGACAAATTTATACCAAGAACATAGACTGGGAATCATAAGGTGATGTAGGGAACTGTTAGCTTTTATTTTTAGCATCAAGTATAAGAATCCCTCAGGGCAGTGGTTCTAGATCACCTGCGGTGCTTGTTAAAATGATGACTCCTGTCCCCACAGGCACCCTACCCCCCCCCCAAGGGTCTGGAGTAGGACCCAAGATTCTGTTTTTAACAAGAGACTGATGCAATAGTTCTTGGATCCATTTTTAGAAACTCTACCCTAGGGAGACCCTGCCAGTGTTAGTAGACCACCAAGGTAGCAATGAAGCTGCCATGATCTATAGGTTGTTACCAACCTGGGTTGAGAGAGGAAGAGTTTTTGCTTTCTGTGCAATTTTGGGAGGATGGGTTGCCTCTAGGATTGGGGTGTTGGTGGGATGAAAGCTCTAAAAAACATCTGTGGTTTCAGGACTGGCAAGGAGCTTGGTAAGCTCAGTATGAGGAGCACATCAATGGGCCAAGGGAAGAGTGCAGAACTGAGCTGGGAGGGAGCAGGGACTTCCCAGTATGAGGAGCACATCAATGGGCCAAGGGAAGAGTGCAGAACTGAGCTGGGAGGGAGCAGAAGCCAGGTCGTGAAGGACTTCTTGTGTTCTGTTACGGAGTCTGGACTCCACTCTGAGAGCAAACAGAGCTTTTAAAGGACTTTAAGGAAGGGAATGACAAGATCAGATCTACATTTTTGAGAGCTGTCTCATTAATCCCGAAGTGGTTAACGTCCTTATTAGTACAGCAGGTAGAAATATTAAAACTGAGCTAAGCAGCATTTTTTAGGCTTAAAGGAAGTTGAAGAAGCCAGTCTTCTTTTTAATCTCTTTGGACCCACATTCTCTCAGTTTTATTTTTTCACTCTGATTTTTATCAGCAAATGCCCTCATGAGTAATGTTTCAAGGATAATGATGATACAGAGTATATTTCCCCATTCAGACAGGAAGCAACAGACCTTACATTAGCGTCCTGAAGACTGGATTTCTTATTGATATTTACAAATGTTGATTCCTCTTTTCCAACCTGTTAAAGAAAACAGTCACATTAGTCAAAACTGAATATTTTGGCATCCAAGATGTTTTGTCTCCAACATTGAAAAGATCATAGATGGGCCGGCCCCGTGACGCACTCGGGAGAGTGCGGGGCTGGGAGCGCAGCGACGCTCCTGCCATGGGTTCGGAGTTCGGATCCTATATAGGACTGGCCGGTGCGCTCACTGGCTGAGCGCGGTGCGGGTGACACCACACCAAGGGTTGTGATCCCCTTACCGGTCACGAAAAAGAAAAAAAAAAAAAAAAAAAAAGAAAAAGAAAAGAAAAGATCATAGAAATGTGCAGATGGACCAAAGAGAGAGTTCGACAAGAATTCAATCAATAGCCAATTTTACTCTGGTGTTTATGTAAGTTATCAAAAAAAGTGTTGTCTTGAGTAATGGGATTAAGGCTTAATCATTCAAATGCAATCAGTTTTTGCATTCCTACTTTTTTTTTTTTTTTTTTAAAGATGACTGGTAAGGGGATCTTAACCCTTGACTTGGTG